ACTGGTACCAATTTATTTCACAGCTTTATACATTACTTTACACTACTAAACAGATTAGAGATCATAAAACTGGTCGAATGTTTGAAAAATTCATCACCAAAATGAAATAATCTGTATCTGCTATAACTATTAAAAACACTGTTTTCCGTATATAGGTAGTATATAAAAAATCTCATTTTTTTCTTAAAAAACTATTTATATATGCGTGTTCTTCAAGTATGATGTGGACAATGACTTTACCAAAAGTTTTAAATAATCAAATTGATATGTCACCGTGGAAAATTTTTCATTATGCAGACTAAAAGAGTAGCACTTTTATTTACAAAATTTACTTATTTAAAGGTGAGACAATTTAACTTTACCATCCAAATAAGAGTTTTACTTAACATTTGGATTAAATCAGTTAAAATTGTTGTTACATTTAAATATTACAACCATAACAACAGTCAAATATATGTTTCAATTTTGATTTTTGCTTCTTACTGACATAATTAAAGTATACCCCACCCACTTTTTAGCATAAAAATCACTTTTCACAAAAAAATAATCAAGACTGCTTATAGGCAGCATATTTCACTTTTAATTATGGCATGGAGAAATGAAGTATATTGTAAGGCTATTTGTCCGTCTGTCAGTCTTTTTGTCTCCCTTATTGTCACACCTACCGTAAATATCTCAATAGCTAAAAAGGCCAAAAAATTCGCAACTTAGCAAAGAAGTAGCTTTGATGTAGGGAGAAAGATTTTTATGCATTTAGACTATCTGTTCTTCAACTTAGCAGAAAGATGGCTAAATGTATGGCAGAAAAAAACTTATTGTACTTATAGGTATGTCTATTTGCCCATCAGTCTGTTTCTTGTCTTTCAGTCTAAATATATTGATGGTACTGAGGCCTTAAAATACAAAATGTAGCAGAAAAATAACCCTTGAGCTAGATATTCCAATTTGACCAACAGTCTGTGTAAGATCCTCATAATATGCCCCCTTAACAAAGTGGAAAAACTGTAAATAGAATATAATGATCACAGTGTTTTGACAGAATTCACTAAATGTCACATTAGATACTGACAACAAACAAGAGGGCCATGATGGCCCTGAGGTCGCTCACCTGTATATAGGCCCCCGGAGCGAGGCCAGTTTAAACCCAAGGGCTTTTATTTGAACAAACTTGGAAGACACCCATTAGAAGATGTTTAATGATGTTAAGTTTTTACTATACATATATAATGAAAAACAATGACCTCCCCCACCCCCCTGGTAGGGCTAATGTTAACCCAAGGGCTTTTATTTGAACAAACTTGGTAGACACCTATTAGAACATGTTTCATGCTTAACATCTAAGCTCTAACTCATTGGGTTTTTTAAAATAATATTTTTTAAGTTTTTACTATACACATATAGTTAAAAACAATGACACCCCTGGGGCGGGGCCAGTTTTGACCCCAGGGCTTTTATTTGAACAAACTTTGTAGACACTTAGTAGAAGATGTTTCATGCTTAATACCTAAACAGTAGCCCTTTGGGTTTTTTCAAAGAAGATTTTTAAGTTTTGCTATACACATATAAGGAAAATCAATGACCCCTGGGGCGGTGCCAATTTTGACCCTAGGGCTTTAATTTGAACAAACTTTGTAGACACTCACTAGAAGATGTTTCATGCTTAATATCTAAACTCTAGCTATTTTGGTTTTTTCAAAGAAGATTTTTAAGTTTTTGCTATACACATATAAGGAAAATCAATGACCCCTGGGGCGGGGCCAATTTTGACCCCAGGGCATTTATTTGAACAAACTTGGTAGACACTCACTAGAAGATGTTATATGCCATATATCTAAGCTTTACCTCTTTGGGTTTTGTAAAAGAAGATATTTAAAGTTTTTTCTTTTGGTTGCCATGGCAACCAGAGTTCTGCATGGAATTAAATTCTTTGAACAATTTTTAAAGGTAACCACCACAGGAACATTCCTGTGAAGTTTGGATGAAATTGGCTCAGCGGTTTATGAGGAGATGTCATTTAAAGTAAAAGTTTACGGACGGACGCCGGACGGACGGACGCCGGACGAAAAGCGATCACAAAAGCTCATCCTGTCACTTTGTGACAGGTGAGCTAAAAATGCCCAATATCCTTCAGGAAATAAATAGTATAATCCTTGTAAGTAGATTTTGTAAATGTTCAAGAATTTCATTTACTATAAATGAGATGGATATAGTCAGCAATATCTGTAATTATTCTTTCAGATTTTGTTACTCGAACTTTACCTCTGAAAATAGCCTTCTCAAACCATCAGTTCCGTTACGTTTATATACAATACATAAATGGCAAAACTTAAGACCACTTCCAGCAATCAACCTTGCAATACCCTTGCTGATAACTTTCTTATCAATTATTGATTGTAATGACGCGATGTTTCTGGAGATATTGCAGGCATATTCATAAGATTGAACTGCTTTTTCTAAACTAAATGACAGTTCTGTTTTAACATTTTCATCTGAATGCACAGAATTTACCAAAGTCTGCAACGCAATAACACTTTCTTGTGCATTGTGAGCAGTATATGAATTCCCAAGTAAATTCCGCACTAATGCCCTCTGCTTGTAAGAGATCAGGATACGTTCTTTGAAAAATTTTAACCTGTCCATAAAACCTTGTACACACTTCTGAAGGTAATGGTATTTATTGCAGTTGTATACAGCATGCAGGAGGACTTTGCAGTCAAAGGATTTAATGTTATGTCCTTTTAATATTACTGGTAAACTGGAACACTTCTGCAAGAAATCAAAGAACCTGTCTAGAGCTTCATTTATACACATGTAATCAATTGGTTTGCCTTTGTAGAACATGGACTGGCCAGCCATGGACAAACCAGTCACTTCTTTTGCCTTTTGTGACATTTTCCTTTGTGGCATTACATATGTAGAAAATGTACTGGAATCATGTACAGCTGCTATCTGAGTAATATGTGATGTTCGTTCTGAAATAGACAAAAAAAGTGATAAAAGATAAGAACTACAAATTAACAAGGGCAACATTGTCACAATATACCCCCGTCACAAAAGCTTTTCAATATAAATGAAAGACAACACAATCATATTTAAGATTGGCTGTGTGCCAGGCTCTAAGCTCATAGATAATTTCAAACTTTAAAGAATTATGTTATATTTATTAAGCTGCATACTGTCACATACTATCAAACAATGTGTAAATTTGTTTACCTATTCTGAATAAAATAATACAAGAGCCCGGTTTGAGCCGGGTGATGCTCCGCGAATAGGTTTTGGACAGAGGAAAGTACACCTCTTGTAGTTTCAGAGTTATGTCCCTGGAAAAAGTTCAAAGTGCAATAATTCCAAAATAAGGTAACGCACTTCTAATCAATGTGATCTATCAACCTACAGAGTTTCTTGATGATATCTCTTATGATTTCCGAGTTATGTCCCGGGAAACTTCAAAAAGTAAAAATAAACAAAGGGCAATAACTCCAGAATTAGTCAAGGCAGAGTTATGAACTTATGATTCTTGTGCACTGCACATCTACCCATTGAGATATATTTACCTACAATGTTTCATGTTGATATCTCTTATAGTTTTACAGTTATGTCCTGGACAAGATTTTTTTAAAAGGGGAGATAATTAAAAAATGAGGCATGACAGAGTTATGGCTCTTTTGCACTGCACCTCTACTCAATGAGATCTATCTACCTACAATGTTTCATCTTGATATCTCTTATAGTTTTAGAGTTATGTTCCGGACAAAGTTCAAAGTGTTAAAATTAACAAAGGGCAATAACTCCAAAATTAGGACAAAAAGAGTAATTCTTCTTATGCACTGCACATCTTCTCATTGAGATCTATTCACCTACAAAGTTTCATGTTGATATCTCTTATAAATTTAGATTTATGCCCCGGACAAGATTTTTCTATAAGGGGAGATAATTCAAAAATATGGCAAAATAGAGTTATGGTTCTTTGACACTGCACTCCCCCTCAATGCCCTCTACCACTGTATGAAGTTTCAACAAAATATCTCCAAGGTTTTTCAAGTTATGCTCCGGACAAGGCAACGGATGGACAGACGGACGGACAGACAGACAGACAAGGCACCGACTATATGCTCCCCCAAAATTTTTCGGGGAGCATAATAATGCTTGCGACAGGCTTGCATAATGTAATTTTACTCAACAATAAATTCAGTATTGAACTTATACTCATTCAATTATGCTTTATATAACAAGAAATTGTTAGGCCTACACCCTTGTCAACAGTCAAAACAGTCAACCTTAAAAGACAAATCAACAAAGTGCTACAATTCAAAACTTCTGGTACTCAGACTGTTGACTTTTTTCATATCACAAGTACTTTTGTTATATTGTTTTTTGGAATGCCTACCTGAAAAACTACCATATGCCTTCCCACTCCCTCTTTTCTTCCACCCAGCATCCACATTGACTTCATTTTATTTTTCTGCCTACATCGAAAAAAAATGTAAACTCATATCAATACTTGAAATTGATAGCTTATATAAAACATGTTTCATAACATATAAAATCAGTGAATTCTGAAATGTAAGAAGATTAAAAGGTTTAACTTAAAATCATAGTTATGTGAGCTGAAACCTAACTTTATTGTTTAGAAACTATACAAGAGCCATAACCATACATGGACAATGCTTATTATAATAAAAAAATGTTTTAGAGAAATAAAATTCATAAATAAATGACATAGCTGAAATTCAGTAATTTAACCTTTAATGTCAAGGTCATTTACATGTATATGTCAGTAAAGTACAGTTAAATAAACATCAAGGTTCTTTCCTGAATGATGCTGTTTCTGAATATGAAGTCAATACATTCACAAATAACAAAATTATAGCCAGTTACAGTAAGAACAAGATAATTTTAAATAATTTGACCAGTCAAGGGTAATGAATGTCTGGTTACAGTCAACTTATAGGCATTGGAGAAATTAACAGGAAGTTAACTTTGTAACAATTAATCTCTTACTCTCAATTCAAGTTAACTTCCTGTTGCAAATACTTCTCAGTACTGGCTTTGGCAACATCCTCTAATGCCTGTCCAGCTTCATTCTGTCTGAAAATAAAAATGTTTTTATGTTAAAGCAACTATGTTGAAAAGAATAATTTGTTTATTTTCATAATTTGAATAAAGGACATAATAACATTAACTACCAATGTTATAAGTAATATATGTGCAGCTAAAATGATTCATTTCAACACCACTACTATTAAACCTGTGTAGCAGGATGGAAACAAAGGATACTCCCCAAATTAAACACACAGGAGATTAGTAAACTGTACAAAATTATTACTTTTCATTGTGATTAATATTTGCATGTATGCTTGTTTACTTATACATGTTGTATACATGTACTATAATATGGTGGTTAAATTTCTGTACATGTACTATAATATGGTGGTTAAATTTCTGTAAGTGGTTGCCTGTAATAGTCTGGGCAAAATTTACAGTTAGAAATGTATATAACTGGACTGGACAAAAATTACAGCTAAAAAATGTGTAAAACTTGCATATCTTTTAAAAAAATTCAGTGGCTCAGATCATGATACAGTCATATTAATATGCACAGTTCCTCTTGGTAGAGTTTTTTTTCTATTAATATCCAATGAGTTCCACTGGAACTGTTCCAGTCATTGGTTGCTTCCTGAGAAGTAGCCATAAAAAACAATCTTAAATCTGAAAAGGCTTGAATGGGCATATATTTGTGTAAAAGTACTGCACTAAAAAAAGATTCTACTATGCCCAGCTCTCTTTGGTCCTAAGGAAATCTTCCTATAATATCAAACAAGCAGATACTCTGAAAAAAAATCAGATGTTATTGGTAGCATAAAAGCAATGTAAGTATTTAACATCCACATAAGTCAACAAAAACTAAGTTACATTTCATACAGTACATGTACCTACCTCCTAACAAGCAAGGAATGGTTGACAGGTGGAATGTTTAATGCTGATAAAATACTGTATATCTGTCTAACACCAACTCCAGAATGTGTAATAGCTGAAAAAATGAAAATAAAAATTGTATATGTACTAAATTAAACAACTGAAATAACAGTAAGCAATTAATAAATTGGGTATTTTAAACTAAATGGTACTTTGAATAATAATGACAGCTTTGCTTTATTTATTCTATAACAAGGCCTGTGCGACAAGGTTTGCATAAGGTTAATACATATCTATTATTATCTTGATTAATTAAATGAATAGTCAATACTAATAATAGCCCATTTTCAAACATGGCAAATGTGCACTCACCATTGATTAATGCCACAGTCTTATGATAAATTTGGAGTGTATGGGCTACATCATCATGATACCTGAATATTGTCTTAAAGACGCCATGTGATATTAAATACGTGTATTCAAAAATCATTCTGGTTGGGGAAAAAAAACATAACAACTATGCTGTTGACTAGACTGTACATGTAGCACTGGCTTCATTTAGGCAGGGCTATTTTCACAGGTTGGGGAAGCTGGCCTTCCATTTATTTTGGGGTAAATAAAAAAATATTTCCTTCATATCATATTTGCTCTCATATTTACATCTACATGTATAGACGGAAACAAGACAACTCACCCCCCAGACGATTCACCCCCCAAAACCAAGACAACTCATCCCTCAAGACAGTTCACCCCCCATAATAGATAAGACAATTCACCCCTCATGTTTATTGTTACAATAATCAAAAAGTCAGTTAAAAAGTTTCAAAATTTGATGTATATTAATTTGTTATGTTATTTTATTTTATTCAATTACATCAAATAACACAGAGTTTATATTGAGGGAAATGCCCATAGTGTATGCACTTTTCATAAACATATTATCTATCATGTATTTAATAGTCTTGATATTTTTATTGTTTATATAATGCAAACATGTACAACTATCTGCAGGAATAATTTAATTATCCATTATCTTAAAGTGCTGAAAAACATATTGTTTAATCTACATCCACTCTTTCATCAGAATCACTTAACACCTTGCTTTATAATCAATTAAGGATGAAAAAGTGTTAAGGGATAAAGGGCTATTAAAAGTATACAAACGTCCACTCGAAATGTCATATTTCACAAGAAAGCATGTCTTGAATGGCTTCTCAAAAAAATTTAATTGGTCGTGCTTGCACAAAATTTATTTGTAGATAATGTGTCATAAGCATCCAAATGAGTTGTTAGAATGAAAGAGATTTAAGAGCAAATGATTATCACATGTTAATATCTTTGATATGTCATCTTATAATAACATTGATAGCACTTAAACAAATTAAGACAAATTTATGGTGAATTTGTAATTTTTACAGTTCTTATGTAAAATAATATGTAAAAATATTAACACATAGTAACAAATATTATTTTGAAGTAATAAATTATAATAATTAATTTAAATATGACTAAATATTTTATAAATATTAATTATGTAAAGAAACACAACAAATTTGTTTATTGCATATTCTAATTTTAAGATAAATTTCATCAAAATTAAAATTAAAGAAATGGGGGGTGAATGGTCTGTGTCATTTTTCCAATAATGTGGGTCGAAATGTCTGGTGGGTTAATTGTCTTTGATACCTGAAAAATATAGTGGTTTTCTACCCTATATACAACTCTGTGGTAAATTGTATCCTGACCTGTGTAATCTAAGCTTCAGTTTATTGTGAGTTTGAAAGGGCCAGCTTTGTCACAAAAATATTAAATAAGTTTCCCAGCAAACTTTTTGTTCTGAAAGAGATTTTATGTGATTTTGTGAAAAACTGATTGAGCACTGGTACGGTTAATTGATAAAATACAGTTATTTTGAAATATGATTTTCAAAAACACAACTTACCAATTGCAAGCTTTGTGTTCATGTCGTAGACTTTCCCATGCTTACGACCAGTGTGCACACGTTTGACTTTGCCGCACTTCTGACAAGCGATGTCAAGAACACTGGTAAGCCCAAAGTTCTTACTGTTTACTGTGTTTTCCAGATATAAAGGGTTGGCAATTCTATCAAGTTTTCCTGAACCCTAAAGTCCGATGGCGATGTATAATTGTGATCATAAGATCTTCTTTCGACTATCGCAAATGTTCTAAACTTGGTGTTACCTGCTTAAGATTACGTTTCTTAAATCTTCCGCATTTCTTTCGAGAGGTATTTCGTACTTCGTCTAAAGTAGCCAGAAACAAGGAAGTCAATGTAGACAGGCGCATGTTTGGGTATTATTATTTTAAAACAAAGCGCCACGGTGATGCATGTACCGTATATCGTTATTTGTTGTCGTAAAAAAAAATCAATTGACAGAAACATTTATCTCTTCAAATTTAAATGGGTATCACACATGAATAATTAAAACAAACTTGCCTGTCTAATATTATCGGTAGAATATCTTACAAATTAAAAAAATTGTTTACGACATTGTTACTGAACTACCGTAATTTGTAAACGCTCCTACATCCTTAAGTAGGGAACACATCTTATGTTATTTTTTTCCTCGTCAAACTTCTACGTTTGCTGTAGTCTTAGATTTAAAATCAAATAGATTTCAAAATTGATAAACCAGCTTGAAATATAAATAGTCGTATCCACATAAGAAATAATCAGTAACACAAAGTAAAGATCAAAAGATCATTTTCCACTTAAACTCATTTATGATTGACTGGGAAAATATCTACAGCTTCTTTTCTTATGTTAAAAATAAATTCTTGAAAATTCGCCTTAATAATGGGTAATAGGTTCTTAGTTTGCTTCTGTTTTTATTGTTATTTTTGTTTTAACCGTATAAATTCTTTCTAAAAAAATGCATAGCCATATTTGCGTTAGTATGTGCTATAGGTATATTTGTTATCATTTTATCATTCCCAAGTGATAAACATCACACAACATTTTAATTTTTTTCAGTATATCTTAAATGAAAGATGCGTCATTGTTCCGTTTTCTTAGTTTACTTTTTACAGATTATATTTGCGCATTTAGCAGTTGTTAAGAAATCGATTTATTGTTCACTTCTTTACTGTTCAACATTTTATGCGTTTTTTTTCCATAAATTCTACAGGATGTTTATAATCAGTTTTAAAATTCTTTAGTTTTTTATTGGGGATAGTAAATATTCGCCCTTGTACGGGTTCATAGTTTCTTATTGTGAGTATGTGTTTTAATAAGTGAAACGATATTATGTCAATCTATTGTTAAAATTGAAGTGAGTGGGTGAAAAGTATTTTGACTTCTTTTCACATGATGCGAACTATATACCTTAAACGGATTTTAGTTTTCTTTTTGGGACATATTAATTGGCATGAAAAGCATCAGCAACATTCTACAACACGAGGTTAAAAAAAAAAATTGTCAATATTTTGATATTATAAAAAAAGGAAACTGAATAATGAATAATTATTAATGAGTGTACGGGATTCATTAATTAAAACTTCTTTAATTCCTAAAGTAAACTAAATAATACGTCCTGTCTTAGAGTCATCGATAAAAAAACTAAAAGTGGAATATTGAATTCCACCTTGAGTTGTATTTGCACTGTTTCATCATAAATCGTGTTTTATATGTTTCGCCATTGTGTAGGTTTTTATTAGTTTTAAAATTTAAAAAAAAATTGATAAATCAGCTTGAAATGTAAACATTCAGTTACGAAAATGTAAAAAGCGAAAAATAATTTTCCACCTAAACTTATTTATGATTGACTGTTAAAATTCTACACCTTCATTTATCATGTAAAAAATAAATTCTTTAAACTTCGTCTAAATAATGGGTTCGTAGTTTGTTTGATGTGAGTTTTGTTCCAGTTATAGTTGTTGTTATTGTGTTAGCCTTATGCATAGCCATATTTTCAATAGCCCTAAGAAAGATTAGTACTATTTTTATCATTCCTTAGTAATAACTTATAACATTAACAAATTCAAACCCACTTTAAGTGTTTTATAGCATACCTTTTTAAGTAATATTCGCCTTGTACGGGATTCTTTATTTGTAATTGCATACATTCGTTTTGATAAGTAAAGGATAAAAAAATAATCTATAGGCATCATCAAGTAGGTGTAAAGTATTATAGCTCAAATTATAAATATACAAAACATATACCATAGAACGGAACCTAGTTATATTTTAGTCATTTTAATTGGAAAGAAAAGCATCAACAACATTATACTACACAGTCGTTGTTAATGAGTTTTAAAATGTTTGAGGCAATATCTTGATATTTTAAGAAAAGGAACCTGAATGATAACTAATTATGAATCAAACCGAGCCTGCAACATTTTCAATTTTGCCGTTTTGGGCTTTCTTTAGGGATTCCATCTTTTCTCTATTTATAATATTTCTATAATTCATTACTGATAAGGGTAAAGAATTAACAATATCATACTATATTTTAAGTGTTTTAAGTATAATAATTAGAAATGATGCGTCCTTGAGCTGTTTTTTAGTTCATATAAGCGCATCTATTCAAATGTAAAGTAAATAATACTTCCTGTGTGAGAGTCATAATTAAAAAAAAAGTTGAGAATAAATTGCCCTTCTGATGTTTTTGTACTGTATAATTTACAGGTTTTAAGATAAAATTCGCCATAGTGCTCGTTTTTATTAGTTATAGAATTCAATAAATTTGATAAATCGACTTGAATTATAAATATTTGTATCCACCCAAGTAATTATCAGTAACGAATAAGAAAAAAAAAGAAAGATCATTTCCACTTAAACTTGGAAAAGAATATACAGCTTCTTTTCTTATGTTAAAAGTAAATTCTTGAAAATTCCTCTTAATAATGGATTCTTAGTTTTATTTCTGTTTTTATTGTTATGGTTATTTTTACCTTATTTTTTTTAAATGTGTAGCCATATTGCTAAAGGAATATTTGTAATGATTTTATCATTCCCTAATGATTAAGTTATAAAATAAACACCATATAACATTTTATTTTTTTAAGTATATCTTTAAGGAAAGATGTGTCATTGTTCTGTTTTCTTAGTTTGATTTTTAAAGATGATAGTATCACATTTATTTAACAGTTGGTTAAAAGTTTATTTATTGTTCACTGATCAACATTTTATGTATTTCATTTTATAATTCTTCAAAATATTTAAAATCAGTTTTAAAATTTTTAGTTTCTATTGCAGAAAGTAGAGATTCGCCCTTGCACTGGATTCATAGTTTGTTATTGTGAGTGAGTGTTTTAATAAGTGAAAGGATACTATGTCAATCGATAGTTAACATTAAGTTAGTAGGTGAAAAGTATTTTGACTTCTTTTTTCATGATTCAAACTATATACCTTAAAACGGACCTTAGTTTTCCTTTTGGATCATTTTGATTTGGGAAGAAAAGCATCAACAACATTTTACTACACATTCGTAGTTAATGAACTTCAATTTTTTTTAGTCAATATTTTGATATTACAAGAAAAGGAACCTGAATAAAAACTTATTATGAATGAGTGCACGGGAATCCCGTTGATTGAAACTTGTTTAATTCCTAAAGTAAACTAAATAATACCTGTCTTAGAGTCATAACTGAAAAAAAGGTTGCAAATTGAATTCGACCTTACTCTTTCTACTTGTTTGCTGTGACTTTTCATGGAGAATTTGATCTTTTATTATTTTTTTTTTTGATTTTTTTAAGAATAATGTTTGTGTGAATTTTTTTTTAAAAAGAGAAAGAAAAAGATATCAAATATAAAATTTTTTTAATAAAACGGCTTGAAACGAAACTATTCTCTTCCAAATAATCATATAAGTTCAAAAGTCAATAAGTAAAACCTTTTCTGTTATAACGTTATTTAGATGGACTGAAAAAAATCTGCAGCTTCAAATTAACTGTTTAAACATGAATTTGTTAAGAAAACCTTTGGTGTATTTTCCGCTTGAAAATAGTCGAATTCGATAAAACGGGTTGCATGGGAACTTTTCTTTTCCGTAAAGAAATAGTAAAAAACCGTAACGAAATAGTAAAAAACAAAATCAAAATATTTTTCTACTTACACTTATGTATAAATGACTAAAAAATCTATATTTTTGTTTCCGCATAGTTATGTGAAATGTACTATTAGTGTTTGCTTAAGGAATATCTGTAACTTTTTTGATAAAGTTATTGAGTAAACAACATCATAGAACATTAAAGTAAATCTTTAAGAAAAGATGCGCCTTTGCACTGCTTTTTAAAGATTTTATTTTGAAGTTTTTGGGAGTTTATTGATTGTGCACTTCTTTACTAAAAGTGTTATAACTTCAACTTGTACGCCATTTTTGAATATTTGTATAGTAAAGAGTGCGCATATCGTATAGTAAAATTCGCCCATATACGGGATTCTTAGTACGTATTTTGATTCGCCTTTGTGCAGGTTTATTTTTAAAAGAAATTAAAAAGTTAGAACAGTTGTTTCTCTTTCTACAGATTAGTTGTTACTTTTCATACGAATTTGTTTTTTTTTTATTTCTATGTATAATGTTTGTTTCATTAACTACATTAGAGAGAACAAATACTATTGTTCTTTTTATTATGATTGTTTTTTTTTTCTCATTAAACTTTTTCCGTTTACTTTTAGTATTTAAGCAAAATAAATTCGATAAAAGGGCTTTAAACGAAAATATCCTAATCCAAATAAGTGATAATCACTAATGAAGAACATCAATAAGTTAAACATTTTTCTGTTAAAACTTATTTATGATGGATTGAAACATGTCAGCAGCTTAATTTTCTATGTTTTAAAAGGAATCGTTTGAAGATAAAATTCGCCTTAATACTGGGTACTTAGTTTTTTTACAGTATATTTCCCAATATTTAGCCGTGTTACGAGTAGCTTGTTCTTTAACAAATAAAACATGGCCTTGAGGGCAATACGAAAGTTTATGGACTGGTTGCTAAACTTGAATTTGGCCCAAAATACCATGTTTTATTTGTTATATTATACCGAATCTAAAACAGTGAATATAAATGTGTTTCGTAAAAACACAGTTCGCCTGCATACATAGTTCCGACTTTTGTCATTAA